GAGAGAGGAGAGAAAGAGAGAGAGAGAGAGAAGAAAGAGAGGGGGGGGAGATGTCTTCAAGATGGACGTTCTTAAGATCGATACTCAACGTGAAGATAAATCGTCATGAACCGTGTATATTCAACAAACACACATGCCTCTACAAAAAAAAAAAAAAAAAAAAAAAAAAACACTGACAGACACAATGACAGACAGATCCTAGGAAAATAGACAAGCGTCCATAATACAGAGTTATCTCATTAGAAAATAAATAAATAAATAAAAATGAGATTCACTTAGAAATTAATAAATGAAATATAAAATAAAATAAACAAAACAAAACTTAGTCATCGTGTCATCAGAGAGAGAAAAAAAAAACATTGTTCATATGCAATAAAATTTGCACATACTGCAATTACGCATTCATAAAATTTTGCAGGCAACCAATCAACACGTAATACATACAGATAATACCAAGGGTTATAACTTTAAATTAATGATGTCCAGGCTGTCCTCCAATGTAGTTGCATAAATACAGTACATGATATTCTAGTCACCGGCTTTGGTTATGAAATATTTTTACGAAACTTATATATTAGTCATGTTCGCACAACTATTTCAGAATGTCCAAAACGTTGATATTTAATCACGCTGGCAAGTCCTGATTGTCTGTGCGTGTGTGTGTGTGCGTGTGTGTGTGTGTGTGTGTGTGTGTGTGTGTGTGTGTGTGTGTGTGTGTGTGTGTGTGTGTGTGTGTTGTGTGTTGTGTGTATGTGTGTGTGTGTTTATGACTGTATGTATTTGTGTGTATGTGTTTATGACTGTATGTTGTGTGTGTCTGTGTGTGTTTATGACTGTATGTTGTTTGTGAGTATGTGTGTGTGAATGTATCTATGAACTTGTGTATGTGGTGTGTGTGTGTGTGAGTGTGAGTTTCTTTGTTTGTTTTCAAATGTGTTTTTGAGCTTGTGTTTTAGAGTGAGTGTACGTATGTGTTTGCGAGTGTGTGTAGTAGTGTTTGGAAGGGAGATGTATGAGTGTGCGATAGATCCTTATACATTAATTGCTAACACAGAATATTAAAAAGAAGTAATCTTTCATTATACCATTTTTATCATCCTTAGATTTCTCTTCTTTGAACTAATCATTCTAATCTTAATCTCGCTTTATGGAACTGAAGAAAAGGAAGAAAGCAGATAAATATGCGAGAATGAACTAGTTTTTTTGTTTGTTATAGTTCAGATGCTTGATGTCTTAATTGGATGAAGTGAACTCTATGTATATACATAAATCTTGATAATGATCGATAAATAGATAGATGGAAGGATGGTTTAAGAGACAGAGAGATAGCTAGATGAATAGCTTGATAGATAGGCACCTAGATAGATTGATTGAAAAGTGATTGGCCGGTTATAAAAAGATAGATAGCTTGATAGATAAATGTTTAGACAGAAAAATGGGTAGACAGATAGATAGATAAATGGATAGACAGATAGATAGATGTGTGTATAGAGAGATAAATGTATGAATATACAAATAACCAGATGCAAATTATCGAAACCGAACGTAAAAGCAAACTGGGCTTTAAGGCAATGACACAATGAAACGTGGGTTTTGGGCCGTAGAGTTTTCACGGATATCGACCAACGGAATACCGAATGAAGGCCATTAAAGACTAAGTAAGTGTTGAAGCTGAGTTTACAAAAGCCTTAACGTCATTCCGTGTTCGAGGGCGAGTTTGTTTCGTTCTAGTTTCTGGAATGTAAGTCCTTTTAAAGCTCGTACAACATTCCCGCTGGAGGTCGTGTGCAAGTTATTCAGTCGGTCTTGTACAACGCAACATTTCCCTTGTACAATATTATTTTTCTTGTACGTCATAACCTTTTGTGCAACGTATGCAGTTAGTCTTGTGCAACATAACATTTCTTTTATCAATTTTCTTTTTTTTCTTGTACATCATAACTTTTTGTGCAAATTATTCAATCAGCCTTGTACAACATATCATTTCTCTTGTACAATATATTTTTTGTACATCATAGCAGTTCCATAGATTTCTATACAGCTATTTATTGTACAATAGAGCTATATAAATTGCTTGTTTCAGAGGATGTAGTTTCAAGACAAGCTAAAAGTATCTATAATAACAACAGTTAGCATTCTCACACAAATCCTGTAACTATATAATGACGGACTCTTCCATTATTAATCTATGTATTCATTTATCTGTTGACTTACTCACGTATTCACTCACTTATTCATGCATTTATTTAAACGCAAATTTACATGCAGCTACGAACTTCAGCACTTTATCCCCGATTTCCAAGAAGTTTGAGCGAAGAGTGAAAAGAGAGTTGGAAAAGGAACCCCCCGACTGTTCATGAAACACTAACACACGTGAATAAAAGTCTGCAGAAGGGACGGTTCCAAAACAAACACGCGCGGAGGTTTGCCCGAAGTTCTGCTATGAATAAAGCTACATTGGCTAATCTCTCTTATCCCATGCTAACACTGCCACCGCCCTTTTATCCTATCGCAGGAGAGATAAGGAGAGAGAGAAAGATAAGCGGAGGGAAGGGGAGAGGGAAGGAGCGTGGAGGAAAAAAGAAGAGAAAGGGAGGGAGAAAAGGAGAGATAGAGATAGAGTAGACACAGAGAGAGAGAGAGAGAGAGAGAGAGAGAGAGAGAGAGAGAGAGAGAGAGAGAAGAGAGAGAGAGAGAGAGAGAGAGAGAGAGAGAGAGAGAGAGAGAGAGAGAGAGAGAGAGAGAGAGAGAGAGAGAGAGAGAGAGAGATGAGAGAAGAGAGAGAGAGAGAGAGAGAGAGAGCAGAGACGAGAGAGAGAGAGAGAGAGAAGAAACAGAGAGAAAGAAAGAGAGAGAAAAAAATAGAAAGAGAGAGAGACGAAAGAAAGAAAGAGAGAGAGAGAGAGGAAAGGCACAGCAAGGTTGAAAATACCCACACGCCAGAAGGAAAAAAATTTGCACCTGCAGATCAAACAACTCCCCGACGCTTTTATGTCTTAATTCCTCTCCCACTTCGTCCCAAGTGGAGGCTCCGGCAAGGAGGACTGACCCCGTGGCTGAGCGATTAATTAGCGAAGGTCGAAGGGTTAATGACTGTAATTACTGCGTTCATGCGGTGATTGATGAGGGGAATCCCCGACGCTAAGCAGGTGATTGGTGGCGAAGGAGAGCTGCTTTCTTCTCCACCTGAGATCCTGCCGAGGAATTTGCGGAAGGAGGCGGAGGAGGAGCGGAGGAGGGAGGTGGAGAAGAGGGGGAGAATATATATATGTGTGTGTGTGTGAGTGTTTGTGTGTTGTGTGTGTGTGTGTGTGTTGCGTGTATATGTATGTGTATGGTGTTATACAATATGTATGTGTATATATGTGTGTGTGTGTGTGTGTGTGGTGTGTTGTCTGTGTGTGTGTGCGCGTGTGCGCGTGTGTTGTGTAAACATAATATAAATAGATAGAGATGGAGAGAGAGAGAGAGGGGTGAGAGGAAAGGGAAAAAAGAAAAAAAGTGGAAGACAGGAGAGAGAAAAGAGAAGAGAGTGGAAGACAGGGAGAGAGAAAAAGAAAGAGAAAGTAAGAGCTACAAATCACACAACCATTCACCTACCACCTACCACCTACCACCTATCACCAACCTCCCCCACACACACACGCACTCCCACACCCAAGAGTCCGAGACGATAGCACTCCCAAGTCCTTGTTTACAGCCCCTTCCGACACATTCCGAAGAGGAGGTTTCCCAGACCCAGCGCTCGCCCTGGTATCCTTGAGGCAAGCGCGAAAACATAACATTATTGCATCATCTGTGGAGGATGGTTTGCATCGCCTTCCTTCCACGGGCGAGTGTCTTGGTTTTTGTCTTGAGAGAGAGATGAGGAGGGGGGGGGGTAGGGGTAGGGAAGGAGAGAAAGAAGTGGGAGGGGGGAGGAAGGAGGGGGAGAGGGATGGAGAGGGTGAGAAGGAGGGTGAGAAGAGAGAGAGAGAGAGAGAGAGAGAGAGATGGGAGGTGGGAAGGAGAGAAAACGAGAGATATAGTAAGAGAGACCGAGAGAAAGATGGGTGAGGGGAAGAGAAGTCGGAAGAGAGAGAGAGAGAGAGAGAGAGAGAGAGAGAGAAAGAGACATATTCACATTAAGAGTCTAACATCACATTCGATTTAGACGTCATGATATCCTTCCAAATGTCGAACCGTGAGCAGGATTCGAACCTCAACGATTATAGTCCTATATAGCCTCCCTTCCGCAGATCCTAACCCCTATAGACAGGTGGCAATAGAACTAACGTTCGGTATATGGTACATATCCTTTCACATATCTTCCATTCAAAGCTAAAAATATTTCCATAGCGAAAGAAGTCTTATACAGTATATATCTTTAAAAGAAATTAGTATAAAAAAGGAAGGGAGGGGGTATGATACTCTCCCCCAGTCCCTCCACCTCAACACATACACACACACTTCCCTTATCAAGTACTGTGCAGGGCAATATATTTTTTTATGCAGTACCTGTGAGAGAGGTTTTGGAAAGAGATGGGGGGGGGGGGAGTTCCGCTCTACCCCAGTCCCTCAAGCATCACACATACATCTCCCTAATCAGATACAATACAGTGTCAATCTAAACATAATAGAGTATCATTGAAAGAGTTTTTCAAAGAGGTTGACATAAAGAGAGAGAGGGAGGGAGGGGGGGGGGGCGGGTCCTACCCTAGCACCTCCACCTCAACCCCCCCCCTTGTTAATCAGTTACCGGACATTCAAACATATGCTTTACAGCAGCGTTTGTTTCAGAGGATTAACTTTGCATATACTGTATATATCAGAATCGGATTTCCTATTTGCTGTCAAATTTTCTCGTCAAAAAAGCTTTCAGGGCTTTAAATGATACCTCGTGTCATCCTGCGGGAAACAGAGGATAGATGGTCTGAATATCTCTCTCTCTCGCTATCTATCTATCCATCTATCTATCTTTCTATCTATCTCTCTCTTCTCTTTCTCTCTTTCTCTCTCTCTCTTCTCTCTCTCTCTCTCTCTCTCTCTCTCTCTCTCTCTCTCTCTCTCTCTCTCTCTCTCTCTCTTTCTCTTTCTCTCTTTCTCTCTCTCTCTCTCTCTCTCTCTCTCTCTCTCTCTCTCTCTCTCTCTCTCTCTCTCTCTCTCTCTCTTCTCTCTTTCTCTCT